CGGGGCGGGGCAGCGCCGGGCGCCCCGGGGAGCGGTGCCGGTGCCCGGGGAGCGGTGCCGGTACCGGTACCGGTGCCCCCGCCATGCCCAAGCTGCTGCCGGCGCAGGAGGCGGCTCGGATCTACCACACGAACTACGTGAGGAACGCGCGGGCCATGGGGGTGCTCTGGGCCCTCTTCACCCTCTGCTTCTCCATCTTGATGGTGGTGACCTTCATCCAACCGTACTGGATCGGCGACAGCATCGACACGCCGCAGGCCGGCTACTTCGGCCTCTTCTCCTACTGCATCGGCAACGCGCTCACCGGCGAGCTCATCTGCAAAGGCAGCCCCCTCGATTTCGGCACCATCCCCTCCAGCGCCTTCAAAACCGCCATGTTCTTCGTAGGCATCTCCACCTTCCTCATCATCGGCTCCATCCTCTGCTTCAGCCTCTTCTTCTTCTGCAACGCAGCCACCGTCTATAAAGTCTGCGCCTGGATGCAGCTGGCGGCAGGTGAGCGGGGCCGGGGGCGATGCATGGGGGGGCCGGGGGCTGCCGATGGTCGGGCCAGAGCTGCTTTCCCCTCTCTGCCCCCACCTCAACTCTACCGGGGGGGGGGGCTGGCCGTGAAAGGGACACCAGCGTAACCTCTGTACCCCATTTGCTCTCCCTTACTGGTTACCAGTAGGGAATTTGCGGTAAGTAAAGCCTGTCAGAGCAGCTGAGACCCAGCAGACTCGCTGCGCGTGGGCGATGCTCCCCCCCCGCCCATGTGCTGCTGCTGCAAAATCGTGCAACACCAATGGCCCAGCCACAGCCCGGCCCTGCTTACCTTGGAGGGGGTGGCTTTCCTCCAGCCATCGCCCAATGCTGCCGCTCCTGCTCTGCCCCACAGCGCAGACTCAGAGCATCCATCCGAGACCACCGAATACTGCAGGGCCGGGGCACGGGGCTCCCTGCTGTATTAGGGATCCTGCGGGAATTAATGAGGATACAGTGATAACTTTGCTGCGTTGTTTGGTACCTACAATACCCCCTGCAGCAACCGGTAACTCCCTGAGCTCAGGGGATGACACTCTGGGAAGATGGAACAGGAGGAGGGAACTGACTATAGGATTTGATATCCATCACCCATGTTCTCTTACTTTTCCACTCATCCCCACATCCCTCTGCTCATCCCTGTGGATCTCCACCTTCCCCATCCCTCCCCCAACACAGTGAGACACCTGAGACACCCGGTAACCCAGCTCCTGCCTTCACAGCCCCAGCTGAAACCCAACCCAGCCCTTTACTGCTCCTGAATCATTTATGCCAGGACCCGCCGCAGCCCCCGCCATGCCTGGGTGCCCCTGTGGCAGGGACACCCTGGCTGACACCCCACAGGAGGACAGCCGTGGCATCGGGGTTGCTCCAGTTCCCGGCTAAAAAAGCCAGCTCAAAGCAAAGATTTAGATAAGAGGCTTGAGGCAGCTCAGCCTTCTGGGGAGCCGGGAAAGGCTTTGCTGTTGTATTTGGGGCTTTTACGTACATATTTGTGCTGGATGGGGGAGAGAAACCTGGCACAGGTGCCTCCAGCCACACAGACGAGCCCAAATCATCCCTGACAGCCCAGTTTCTCTGCCCCACACTGGCTCTCAGGAGTTTTTGAGCCACCACGGGGCGGTGCAGGTCCTGCTGCATTTCTGGGAGTTATTTTAAAAAGGGTGCAGGTGACAAGTGGATCCATTTTCTGGCCTTTGCTCTGCACCCAGGCTGTATTTTCACAATTTCTTTCCAGCTTCCCCCATTTCTCTGTGCCCCTCCTCTCTCTTAGCTACAGGGAAAAGTAATTAAATAGAGGAGAAACCAGCTGCTTCTCAATGAAGAGAAATGCTCTCTGTAGACCTAGGAAGCTGCCTACTGGCCTTGCCGCTCTCCTGTCCCCAAGCCAAGGGAAAAAACCATCGGCAAAGCATGAGGCAACTGCCCCAAAAGTGTTTTCTGGTTTACCAAGCACCCAGTAACAAAGAAAAGGCACCAGTGTGGGGCAGGGAGCGTCTTGCTGCTGCAGCAGGCTGCAGATGTCTGAGAAGGGCACAGACAAACATCTGCTTGTCCAGAGCTGCCACCACGGGGTTATTTCTTGGTGTGAGAGGAGCCTGGGAAGGCCTCACACCTGCACAAAAACGTGTAAAAGACCAGTTACTTCCATGCTCTGCACCAAGGTAACAGTGGAGGACGCAAAGAGCGTCTGTTATCACGTCCCAAAGCCTTGCAGATGAGCTTGGCTCTTCTCCCTCCTGAGCCTGGTCACTGTTCTCGTCCAGCAAATACAACAATTTCTCTGAGCTTGTGAGGAGAAAAAAAAAACACTTCTGAGATTTTGGGACATGAGCCGCTTGGCAGAAGACGGCCCTTCGGCAGCTCGCGCTGGGTTTGTTGCAACTCCCATGGCAAAGCTGTAAAGTGGATGTGCCGAGGGCCAAGCGGACGCCGAGGTCGCGTGTGTGCCGGGGTCAGGCAATGAGAGCGGCCGCAGGAGGAGCCGGTGGCTCATGGCCGGGCTGGAACCACTGCAGCTGAACAAGCAGAATTAATCTGCCTGCAAAGCTGCTGCTAAGGGCAGCTCTACATTAGCAAACCGTAAGCTGAAATCCAGCTACTGCACAGGGCAATAACAAGGTTCTCCCCTTCGTACAGACTAAATCCATCCCAGTTTTGTTTGGAGAAAATATTTCTTTGGAATGACATGGCCAGGGATGTGTGCGGAGGCAGGAGAGGAGAGATGTTGCCTGGGCAACATGGTGATGGGAGATGCTGCTGCAGCCTGTCCTTGATGGGGAGCCGCGTGCCGGGCGCGTGGGAAGGCAGCGTGCTGAATCCTGCTCCTCCCTGGCTGCAGCAACCTGAACGAAGAAGAGCCCACGCATGACGGGCAACCACAGGGCACCTTTAAGCCCCAGTTAGCCAGTCCATAGTATTTTATGTTTGTAGCATCGTGTTCCATGTTCCTCCACCTACCCTCTCCCCGTGCAGTTATCAGCTCAGGAGATAGCTCACAGCCACTCTGACGTCTCCCTCTCCCTGCAGCTACGGGGCTGATGATCGGCTGCCTGATCTACCCCGACGGCTGGGACTCGAGCGAGGTGAAGCGCATGTGCGGGGACAAGACGGACAAGTACACGCTGGGCGCCTGCACCGTGCGCTGGGCATACATCCTCTGCATCATCGGCATCCTCGACGCTCTCATACTCTCCTTCCTGGCCTTTGTGTTGGGGAACCGGCAGGACAACCTCCTCCCGTCCGATTTTAAAGTGGAAAATAAAGGTAAAAGCAGTGGGGGCTGAGCTCCCAGCCCCAGTCCTGCTGCAGAGCATTTCCACCCTGCAGCTGATTGCTGTTATTTGGGAGGATGGTGGCTTCCTCCAGTGGGAGAAGCAGGATTGCTGTCATGGTCATCACACTGATTCAGAAGGACAAAGAGAGCCAGCAACAGGCAGAAAATTGAAGGGAGCACAAGGCAGGAGCCCAAATTGAGCTGGGCTACATTTCACCCACCTGGGGCTTTCTCCCCATGCTGTTTTAAACTGGAAAACAAACCTAGAAACCACACCTGCACCTTCAGTTTTATACCATACCCCATTAACACTGTAATTATCTTTTTGTTTTACAGAAGAGGGCAATGACTGACAGAGCTGATCACCACGTAAGTGATGCCCATAGTGGTTTTTAACACTTCTTCCCAGCACATGTAATGTTGCTGAAGGACTAACACCTGTATAGATTTCAGTGCTATACTCACATTGGTTTTATTTGTGGTTAAAGGGAAAATAGTCTTTGTTTTGCCTCCTGAAACCAGGAAAACAGAAATCCTTGCCAATTGACAAAAAAAAAAAAAGTTAAAATTTGAAGTAATGCTCCATGTGGCAACAGCTGACCTGTTCTTTCTCTTTCCAGGGACACCTAGAGCTCTTCTTCCATCAGCCCTTTTCTTTAAAGTGACTCTTCCAAGAGCTTTAAACTTACAAACTTCTGTGTATTTTCTACAACAGTTCTTTTCACCAAAGGGACCGCTATCTGCTCACAGCTCTCGTGGAGTTTATTTGATGGGAAGAGCCCAAACTGGACACTTTTTTTTTTTTTAAGTCTATCAGAAAACCTGGGGGAAAGGGGAGGGGCAACAATTTGCTGCTTCTTGGGGTTTGTACACCTTCTTTCAAGGAAATTACTTCTGAATAAAAAAAAAATTAGCATTTTGGGTTTTGTGCTAGTCTCCTCAGGGCAGGGGAAATCCTCTGCCGTGTCCCAGGTTGCCCCCTTGTACTTTAAAAAATACGGTGACACAGCCAATTCCTAGCAAAGCCATCAATCAGCTCCCCACTCTGGGCAACAGTTACCAACCACAACCTTTCAAAAAGGGCACTTTTCTGGGGGAAAAAAACCCCCCACCCAAACCGATCTGCTAGGCTGCAGCAGGCCTGCAACAGTACCTGCAAACTGCAGCAGATGGTGCCACTCAGCATCAACTCACTGCACCACCTGATTAATCTGATTTAGCCATCATTTCTCATCACATCCAACACCCACCTGCGGCAGCCTTCGGCACAGGCCATTTCTGCAGAAGACAAAGCAGCACATCTTCCCATCCAGCTCTTACCTGGTCAGGACCCCAAGTTAACCTGTATTATGATTTTCATTTCTACATGCTGTAATTGGTTGGTTCCTGCAGCAGTCAATTCAATTCAGTTCTAACAAGCACCTTCCAGTTTTACACTTCCCCCTTAAAAAAAAAAGTGTTTGGGAAGGTTTTATTAAGACACTTTTCTACGGAAGACAGCAGAGAGATGACAGGCTTGGAGAAAAACCTATTTTAGAATGGAAAAATTCCAGCAGAGCTGTCCTGCTATTGACCACTCTTCTCCCCCTTTTAAAACAGATCACAATACCAGCAACAAAATCTTCATCTACACCATCTCCCTGCGTCTCTTTCTGGAAATCAAAACTAAGTGCTCACTAGCAAAGAAAATTCAATCAATGGGCCACTAGCTCAGAAAGAACAGACTTACAGAGGGAACATATGAGGAATAGGGCTCAGTTATTAAATAATCTGTTTATTGTATGGCTTTCACAAAGAAAAAAGACAAAGCACCCAAGTAGAAAGAATAAAAATGTATTTTCCTTCAGGTTTTAGACTGACACAGCAAGTACAAATCCTTTAGTGTGAGCACTTTACGGCAATTTGGAAATTTAACAAACCCCAAGTGAACGAGCACATGGTACACGGCTGAATCCTGACAGCTACTTCTGCAAGTCTTCAACTCAAGCTGGCTCTAGCCTTGGCTATCATGGTAAAAAACATCCTCCTCCAGTCAGGGGTGGCAGAGGGAAGGGAAGGAAGGAGCTCTCAGAGTCGAAGCGTGCAGACCCCTTCTAGGAAGAGTTCTTTAATCAGCCAGTCTCAAGTACACAGGACACGGGTGAGCTTTCAAGACAACAGAAATTGTTTGCCCTGCCAATGTATCTTCACAGTATGTAGACAGTAGGTATTTTGGAACCCAGTCCTGTCTGCAGTCCTTCTATAACAGATATGGAAGTGACAGGCGACTGGAAAACTCCAGATGAAAGGGAAAAAAAAAGTCAAATCAGCAGTTTAAAACTCTTTTGGTATGTTACCTTCCTTTAATTTTAGATTATATGCATAGAGAACCTGATCTACCCCTAAAAGAACATGCAGCATGATTTGCATTAATAAGCCCAGTCAGGCACTGGACTGGAGAAACCCTTTTCAAGTGGATTAAAAGACACCAAGGTTTATGAATGAACGATCCTTATGAACCAGGATTTCCAAACACACATACAGAAGTGACACGTAACAGTGGTCTTGGCAGCTTTGGCAACATAATCATCTCGGATAGCATCTGCGTGGCCTCCAGCATGCTCCTGCAACAACTTCTATCCTCTGAGAGCCACCACAAATGCAAAGGCCTGTTTGGTCCAGGGTAAGGAAGTGCCTCTGAAGTCTCAATGCTGCCAAATCTTGCTTTAGAGTAGGATGCACTGAATCTGTAACAGGATGGGCAAGTCTAGAAGAAGCCATCATAGAACTATCAAATGCCACAGTGATTTAACTTTTAATTAAAATTAACCCATTTACTCATTATATCCAACCCCTTCTGAGAAGTTTATATAGAAACCCCACAGAACATTTTTACTTGGGATAACTCTAGAAACAGCTTCTAATCCAGTATCTACATGGAAAAGTCAGTTCTCTTCCACTTCTGCTAGCTCTCCTTGTGCTAATGGCCCAGAAAATAAAAAGGCAGTCCCATCCTGGGTAGTTATTTCTGAAGGCCAGCACCTGAAGCAAGTTAAAGGAAAAGAAATCTTTACACTAGGCCTTCAAGTGTTGATTTTGAAAGTCAAAAGAGCTATAGCATGGCTGTGACACAGATGCTGCCACCCTTTTCTTGGGAAAAAGTGAATGGCCAAAAATTAAGGGCCAGAGCAGACTGCATCAGTGAAAGCCAAACTCTCACAGATATAGCAACCGCCTCAAGCAAGGCAAAAAAAGTGCCAGTAAGGGATAAAAACCAAAAACCTTACAGCTCACTAAAATGTTAGAAGAGTTGCCTGCAACAAGGCTACCTCTCTGCAGCCAAAGGGCACACCCATCTGTACGCTGAAGATTGTGCGTTGAGTCGGTTCCAGCTTTTGCTTATTTTGCTTGTCACCTTTTAGTCACAGGCACAGGCATTAAAGTAGAAAATGTCACTGAGTTCAGAAACTATTCTGACTATCTGGGCACAGGGAAGGAAAAAGTAAAGGGGCAGGGCACTTTGGAAGAAGAAATAAAGGATACTAAAACCTAGGTTTAAATAGCTCTCTTCAAAAGATTTAAACAGCTAGAACTAAAGAAAAGTTAGGCGACTGGAAAGCAAAGAATACAGTAGACACCTAGAAAAATGATGAAGGATTTGGAGGTCTTTGCTCTACAAGGAACTAACACCACCTTGGTGCCATCTGTTACTTCTCACCCAATTGCTAGCTACTGGACGAACAGCGGGAAGTTGTCTCCTGAGTCAGTGAGATAAGGAGGCGTTCAATCTTCACATCCCCTTCATGAAGAAAGGGGAGTTGGAATTTAGCTAAGGGAGCTTATCTGAGCACAGGTGAGCTCACATCTGTAACACACGGTGCGTAACAGTGAGGAGACTCAGGAAAAACTTCATATTCTAGTCAATTAGTCTTTGGCGAAGCCTAATCAAGGCAAAACACAGATGATGCCCACTGGCTGAGGAGAGTCCCCATTGAGTCACACAAGCAAACTCAGCAGAACAGGTTAGATTTATCTAAAATCTTGGAAGCCTTGAAGGAAGAACTTCACACTGAAAATGAACAAGGAAAAAAATGGATCTGGGAAGGGGCAGCTGGGTGCATGTATGCTATGCTGTAAACCAGAGTGTAGTGCTGTGGCATTGGGTTGAAGCCTCTACGAGTTAAGCCAGGGGTGCCTGAGACACTCTGCTGCTGTAGCTCGTTTCTCTGGGATCAGCTCCAACATAGGTAATAAGAAGTCTGTGAATGCAGCTGCCTCATCTTGGGACCACTCATATTTTTCCACCAAGACTTCAAAAAGGCCCCAGGGCTTCAGTTTGGTGATGTGCTTCAGATCACCTGAAAACCAAGACAGACAGGTTAAGTGCAAGACATGGGAGCAGAGCAGCTGAATAAAATAGGCCAAACAGCTAAAGACGACACACTGAATTCAGAAACTGTTCTGAATAGTTACGCATAGGGAGTATAAAATGGTAGGGCATGCTAAAGGAAGAAATAAATTATCTTACAACCGCTCTTCTATCTGCTTTTGAAGACTGTTCTAGAAATGTACTTCCCTGAAGGCTTCTTTCTTCCCTCCTGCTATTTCTGATCCAATACCAGCAAATACCGTTTAGCTTCATTAAATCACCAACTATACTGGTTGACATCACAGATAAACACTGTGCCGTTGACTTTGGAATACATGCAATACATGCAGCACTGTTTGAGGAAGCAATACACTACTAACAAAAAAGGGTTTGTTCTATAAAAAAGTATTAAACTAGGTCAAAAACTTCTTCTTGAGACTCAATACATTTCTGGGGTACTTAGGGCTTTATGGTAACTGTATAATGCATCCTGAGCAACATGGGTCAGGATGCAAGGCACTATTTAGGCGACTGGCATGCTAGAAATGGAACAAAGTTGTTTAGAGAAAACTTCAAAGGTGAGTCAACAACTGCAGCTGACAAAGATCAGCTAAATAAAGCCAAATCAAGTCTGAAGAAATATCTACAGTACTGTTTTTCTACCTGCTGCATTTGATCAACACCAAGATGTCAAGTACTAGGGTGCAGGATACTTTTAGCAGTTAGACAAGAATGCCTTATATTTAGCTGCAGTTTTACTGAGAAAGCTTTTCATAAAACAAAAGGAAACACTTAAAGAGGCATCTTTGCTAGCATCTATTATTAATTGGCATTTCCAGCAAGGCACTCTTGTGTATTTGGGGCAGGGGATGAAGGGATAAGTGACATTTGCTTTGTTTCCTTTTACCTTTTTTGGTGAAGAACTCCTTGGAATATTTGCCTGCCAAAATGAGCTTGCGAGGTATTTTCCCCAGAAGTTCTATGATCAATGCAATGTGATCTGCATTTTTTCAAAAGAAAAGACAATGAGACACATCCACACAAGACATCTCTATGCCCCAGTTTCCTTCTCCAGGATATAAGGACAAAGACATTCTCTCCCTTAAAAATTACTTCGAGATCCACCTGAAGTCAGATTACACTAAACAAGGACAAAGTCAAGGGGCAAGGGGGGAAAAAAGGTAAGGGCCATTTGAGGCATGAACAGTTTGAGAAACAAGATAGAGAATCCAGTGATAAGAGGAATGGAAAACATCAGAACAAGAACATGGGTTTTACTGCATGGTGGTTTACTGCAGAGGCTTGAGCACAGCTGTCCCCTAACACCACTGATTTGGGTAAACAATCTTTTTGCAAGGAGCCTTTGCATTACTACCTCATAAGAGAAGGCTCATTATGAAGAAGCATCCATTGTTTTTCACAGCCCATTTTAAAAAGAAATAGACTTAGACAAACACACCTTCATCCCGTGAGTAATCTTCTCCAGAATGAGGCTCAAACAGATAGTCTCCTGTTGCTAACTCAAAGGCCTAAACAAAGAGAAATGAGCATGTTAAATCACTTTAACGCACTTCACAGTTAGAAGTACTGCAAGTTGATTCTGCGTATCTCTGGGCCAGAAGCAAAGCAGTATGAAGAATAACCTGTAGAACTCTAGTACACCATTACCATCTTATGATGTACAATTACTTTGCAACATTTTAATGACTGCATTAAAAAAACACCACAGGCATATTTGTGATGAATTCTGGATCACAGCATAATGCAGTATGCTTATGTAAAACTGTACAAAATTAAGGCATTTCACAGGCTTAGCCTCTCTTTCGCCTCAACAGCATTTTGCAAAATGATGTCATGTCCAAGTTCTAGATTTTTTACAAAGATTCTCCCCTCCCTCCAAATTTCAGATACGAAAGACGTTTTTCAAACAGTTAATCTCTGAACATTCATATGTAGATATGAAAACATGTTTTAAATGAGAACATTTGCATTCATTTCACCTCACCACTTCTAAATTCCATGATGCATTTATCCTTTTACGTATTCACTTTTACTCAAAACAGTACCTCTGACCTTTTGTATTCTTAGTTTTCTTTACAGACTGCTGTAGTCTAACTACTGAATTAGGCACTCGGAGTAACCACTGCATAATTTTGGCCACATGTTCTGCAGAGGCAACATGACCATGCTGCATTTTGTTTTACCACATTCATCAAAAATCACAGCTTGTTTTCCAAGACAGCAAAAATGACTTCACTTACAATTTTCCAAGCTTAAAAAATAAAACCCAAGCTTTGATTTGTAGAAAACACAGAGTGGAGACAGCAAAGAGGCACATGCAGTAACTGACTAGACTGATTTTTTTTCTAATTTTTTTTTTTTGTAAATCAGCATATTCTACATTTGCCAGATATTACAGGAACAGCTTCAGCCTTGTCTCAGCACTACTCAGATTATAAAATGATTCCAAACATGCAGAGGATGCATATGATTAAAATATGAATTTATACTGAAGACATCTGTGAAACAGTGCTGGATGCAGCGGAGACGCTCTTTTATATAAAGGTTTTGTCTTCACAATCACATAGCTGTCTTGTTTCTCCACAGAGCATGATGTCAAAGTACAGTTATATTTGAAATCTGCTGGTGCTGTACAACAAAACTAACTTTCAAAAGGAAAGCCACATGTGGCAGAAAAAATAAACAACTTTTGTATGGAAACATGGTATGCAGCAAGTCTGGAAGTTGGCTGAACACCTGTGAGGTTTTTGCCAGGTGTGGCTAGTGACTCAGCAGTCCAGAGTGCACAGCACACAGGCGTTTCCCAGAATGCTCTGCAGAAACGGTTTAAACTCTCCCGGATGATGCCACTCACCATACATGCCGTGCTCCAGATGTCAGCAGGAGTGTTATACCCCGATCCTATCAACACCTCCAAGGATCGGTACTGTCTTGTCTGGATGTCTTCAGTGAAGTGCTTGTGCTAAATAGAAGATACGTTTTACTAAACAGTTAGAGACTGTTTAAAAGAGGAGAATCAACAACCTGGAAGGTCAGAGCAGATCAAAGCTCATTCCCATTACATTTAATCCAAATTCTACATCCTCATTAAGGATTTCCTTATATTCCTACAAGTACTGTTTAAATGCTCTACATGAGACACTCCTTGAGTAAAACAGTCCAGCAATTTAGACAAAAGCAAGCCACAAAAATAGAATAAGGGAAGACTGTTTCAGAAGCTGCACCCGCTCCTATCTGATCATGACAGATAGGCCATGATTCAGCTACCTTAAAGCAGATAAGCAACACCAATGTAAGAGACCACCTTGCCAGACGCTGCAAGCTTGATGTGCCATTCTGAGTTTAAGACTCATCTCTCCCATAAGATCTGAAGTATTTTGCCATTGAAGAAGCCAAGTAAAACAGACATTTCTATTTGAAATGTCAACCGCTTAAAAGCAGCACAGCACAACCATCAAAGAATAAAACTGAGTCTCTTTCATGTGCTCATGAATCCACTGAAATAGTTTGACAAACTAATTAACTACAGAACTAGCACATCAGAGCAACTGTTTGCCACTTTCTTATTCTCCAGGAGAGCTACAGACTTCTTCAGAAGTTTCACATATGCAGATTTCTATGCATTATATGTGACACTGTTCACAGGCCTATTAGAAGTAATCTAATGACCAGCAAGGCACCCAGAACACAGGCTGAAATCCTATGTTAGAAGACCATTTCCTTCTTTGTGTCCCTGCGCGCCCCTCTTTTTTCCCCAACATAAGTTTCAAACTGTCACAAGCAGGTCTAAGAATCTGTTTTACAGATTCTTTTCCATCTTGGCATACTGTGAATGAATTAGCAGGTTTAAACAGTCAATGTGAAAAGATTGTAAACTTACCACCCAGCAGGCATTTCCTAGGTCAGCTATCTTCACTTTGAGCTTATCTGCATTCTTGGGCTCAAGAGGATTAAGAAGGAAATTCCCAGCAGTTGATTTTCCTACAGGCAACATGTACAACAGCTGATTAAAGCTACATGGACAGTGTCACCATCTGTCATCCAAATCCTATCACCCTCTCCCTACCCAGGAAGGGTTTTGCTTACAGATCAGAACCTTTCCCTCCCCAAAGCCTAGGTATAAAAATCAGCAGTCTGCACTATGAAAAACAGAGCTACCACCATTAACACCTGACCAGTGTTATAAAGCAGAAGGACAAGAAAGCATATGCAACAGTGACTGTTTCACAGCACTCTTTGCACAGACTTAAAAAGTCTGTCTATATCTAGACAGGCTTTTTAAATAAGGGCATTGCCAGAAACACAACAAAGCCTCTCAACCCTTCTCTTCCTAAATCTTTGAAGAAGGAGAGTCCACATATTATACCATCTTTTTGACATACCCATCACTCACTGCTGCAACGCAGACAGTTACAAGAGCTAAAGTATACAGTGGGAGAACCTCAATGACACAGTGGAGAGCAAAAATATTAAGTCACTAAATTACACCCATCTGTACCTCTCAAGCAATTTGGGAGAGAGCTGAGAGAAGCAAAATACACCTAGTAATCTAGCAGAGGCATCCAACTAAATGCAGTTCAAGATTTAAAGTCTTGACATTTCACTTGCTACTTTTTGTCCATGTAATTCCCCAGCAGTACTCTGCCAAGAAAATGCTGCAAAATTTTTTTTTAAAAGTGTTAGTTTCCCCCTCCTTCTCCAAGCAGAAATACTTCACCTGACTTTGACTCAAAGATGCAAAAAAGGACAGTTTTATCAATTGATTCAAGATTTTAAAACACACACACCTGGAATGTGTTTAAACTGCTGCACACTATTGTGCATCCTATGTTCTCCTAAACCTACAAGACTTAGAGTTTTTCCCCCCTGAAACAAATCATATTTAAACAAAAGCATTAAGAGGTTTTTTTCCCCTATGCTGTATAAGCTTTCAGTCAAGCTGCACTTCCAATTGTGGGAAAACATTTGGTCATCTCAAGCAACTGAGAGGAGTTACCTGTACTCCATGTTAAGGAAAAAAAAAAAGTATCAGAACACACTAAACAGTACTTATACCATAATTTAAGAGCCAGTGACAATTTGTAGACTTACATTTCTAACTATTAATGAAAATCACATAAGAAACACTACCAGTGGAAGCTACAAACAGCAAATGTCTCAGAGTAGGACTGTCAGGTTAACTACTCCTGACAGGAAAAGTCTTAAACAGGCAGTTCTGATCACTTCAGCCTATAAAAATGGAGGTTTCTACTAATACTCTGCTGAAGTGTTGTAACACAGCTCGCCCACATCAAGGAGAAAGGAGCCCTTTCTCACAGGGTTCCTCTTATACCTTTGTTGTCTGACGGGCTATTATTCTCATTCTCATCCTCTGAAGGTATCTCTGTCCGGATGCTTTCTTGCAAATGGTTAATCTCCTGCTCATTGAATGATCGCTCTTCATTGGACGTGGGCTGACACACCATGGAATCTTCTGAAACTAAGGGCACGAATGAGTCCGACATTGCTTCTTGAGGCCTGTTCTCCGAGTCACCATTACGCTGACTGTAATTACAACTATGGAAGTTTTCCTTCTTCTGTGTATGAGGGTGATCGCCACAGTCATTGGCATTATGAAGGTCATCCTCAAGTCGCACAGACCCTTGATTGCTGGAGTCTGGGAAGTCCGTCATTTGTATCACTCCATTGCAGTTTATTTCTGTAACACATTTTTCCACGCTGCTTTCCATTAGAACAGATTGCTCTTGTACAACGACTTCAGCTGGAAGAGTGGAAAAGGAGAAGATAACAGAATATGTCTAAACAAAGTAATAGCTAAAGCTGTTCAAGGGAGCCCTCAGAAACAGGTAGTTCTCAAAATGTAACTGAACACAATCATTCATTAATTCAGTTTGTAACAGGACATTTCCTAGCCTCTTTAGATGGGTGGAACGCAATGCAAACAGGTTAAATGACAATGGCCACCTCTACAAAAGGTGCTCACTCTACTGATGCCAGCATGAGTAAAAGGACAACATTGGGCTACTTTAGCAATATTTTAGGTCCATACCTGTCTTTTTGCTGACGTTTTCCTCTGGAGGACTAACTTTTATGAGCATTTCCAGAGGGCTCTGAGTTTCTTCCTCCTCTTCAGGCTGTGTCTGCCCAGGGCTTGCTTCCTTCTCCATTTCCTCTATCTCTTGCATTCGCTTCTCTAACAACTCAGCCTGGCGTTTCTGCTTCTTTTTCAACTTCTTTTTCTTATTCTTTGACATTTTGTCAGCCTACACAGAAGCAAGCAGAGAAATTGGACTTAGCATTTCATATTTCAATAAATCTAAAAGGCATCAAGTTTTAATTTATTTTAGAGCTGAGGAAGCAGTCTGGGATGAAAACTCTGGAGACAGTTCTTCTCCCAAATAAAAAGCAGACATTAAGGTTTTTGGAGCAGTTGTCTATGCCTCTTATCAGTGCATTTCTGTCCTGACCTGAAAAACCTCCAGTATTCTCAAAATGAGGGATCTCAGACTCCACAGACAGGTCACCTTCACAACAGACCTTGAGACCACCAAAAAGACTACTCCTTCTGGTGATATATGAGCTAATACTACTTAAATCTCCAAGACAGCATTGAACCCGATGCCTATGTCTATGACAAACACAAATCACACTTTTCCTTCTGATAGAAGGTTGCTTTCCCTTAATGCTGACTGCATTATGAAACAATGCAGTCGATACCGTAAGTAGATGGATACTTATGTATGAAAGCTATTACACTTACTGGTTTTGGCTGTGGTGCAGTGCTCACTGAAAGGGAAAGGAAGATCAGTAAATTAGTATGTTTATATTAAAAAACTGCAACTGCATTATTATCTTAAGGTAAGTATTTTTCCTATGTGGTTTGGTAACAGCGTTTTAAGATATCAGCAAATGTTATTTTGAAGGCTCATTTCTCTACAAAGTAGAGCAAGAATAAAAAAAATAAGAAAAAACATTAAATGAGTAAATGCGTAATTAAAATTCCAGATAGTAGACTTGCTTGACTGATATCAGAGACTTAAACTTCCTGTCACGCAGCTTCATTTACTGCATGTATTATGCACCTTACTGAAAAGGGAATGCAAACCAAAACATTAAAATACCAAAGTTAAGGGAGCTTCCCTGAGCTAAGCTATGCTATGATGGGCTCAGCTAAATGTTGGTGGCATAAGATTATGAGTGACAGAGCCTTGCAATACACACTGTAGTAGTTCTTGAAAACTACACACTGGTACAGATGGATATTCTGAGGAGGAACAAGAGGAACTAGGAACAAGAGAACATTTGCTCTCATATCTTTAGGGATGTTAGCATGTCAAGGAAGCTGTTTCTGTTACAAGTTTTTCAGACTTCTGCAAACTGACAACAGGTAAATCATCTTATTGAGACCTACATGAAATGCATTTCCAGCATTATGCAATGGAAAGAAAAACTTTTGAAAAAAGACATGAGAAGTACCTCACCACATTTTCACTCCAGCAATAGATTGAGTGCATTAGCATTTATGCAGTGTGTGCTATACAAGACTGACTGCCCTACTGCTTTATCAGTGCCAGATGAGCTGTGTTAAAAGCAGATGCCAGCATGCACGCATCCTCCCTCCATTTTTCTTAGACAAACAACTGCTTTCCTGATCATCTTTAAGTTACAGCTTATGACTAACTTCACAATTTACAGTTGGCTTTTCAGAGGTTACTTGCATTATTGTTCCACTGTACTCGGGCAGTTTTCCCAAGTGAGATTAGTGATGATTTGGGGGCGTAGGGGGGAAATCGCACCAATTTCCAGAAAGAGAAAGCACCTGCAGAGCCAGATGGTGGGGGAGCCCCAGACCTCTGCCACTCTGTTGCTTCTGCAGCCAGCCGGCGGATATACTGGTCATTAACACACAGAAGAATGTTCTCAGGTTTAATATCTGTATGAATGATTCGACATTTTGTGTGCAAGTAATCCAGACCCTGAAGAACCTGCAGACAGAAGAGAAGGAAATTGATCATTAGAAAAAGCAAAGAATCAGCAAACAGTGAAGTGAAAATGCAAAATTGCCTAGGATGACCAATGAACTTGAAGGACTTCTGTGTTTGAGAGTGCTCCAGATTAAAGCTAATGTGATCAGTGGTTACTACTCAGTTCCAGAAAATACAAATTCGCATACAGATTTTAGCTACGAATTTAAAATACTGTCTCTCTACCCTCATAACGTAACTTACCACAGTTGAAAATCTAATCTTAATACCCTGCAATAAAATCATGCTTTCCTCCTACCCTCCACCTCACATGTAGAAAGATGTTTTTTCTTAGGCAACCATGCAGCAGAAAGAACAGGTTTCTCTTGCTCTTCCCATCATTAAGCACTGTACTTACTGTGACAGTTTTAAAAAAAATAAATACTTGCACTTATGAGGAATAACCAGGGTAAGAAAAGGTTAAAAGCAAAGCCGGCCTCCCATCATGGTTGAAATGTCAGAAAATAAATATCTGTAGCAGAAGGTTTTTGCAGTAGAGAAAGGAAATATTAACCCAAGAATAATTTTCTTGCATGAGAGATACACCACTAATTTTTAACTTTTGTTTTCTTGGATCCGAGAAAGATTAGTGAACGAGTTCTCTCTAGGCCAAGGGGAACAGTGCAGTCAGAACTGGAACTTACCTGTTTGATGATCTTTTTGACACAAGGAAGTGGAAGTCCCTGGTAATTTGACTTGATGATCCACTTCAGGAGATGATGCCCTAGAACTTCAAACACCATACAGATATCTGGAACTCAGTCAAGGAAAGAGATGAACATCCTGACCCAAGGAGTGCTGAGTTCCCAGGACCGAGGATCAAAAGAAATCCACACCACTTAAGCGTTTTCTATTAAAGAACCCTCATCCTTCTGACACAGCTTAGAGAAGCTGCCTTCCTTAACAGAACCATTCTATCCTACACATCAGTGTTGTTATCTAAAAGCTAAAATACAGCAGGATGGAGCTGGTTAGGACAATGGTCCTAAAGCAGCAGTAGCAAACTCCTGCTTTGAGTGAAAGCCAGTTACACAAGCAATTTTGCATTAGTATTTCCTGCTAGTATTGAGACGGCTTCAAGCCAACAATGTACGTTTTGGAACTGCCTAGGCTCTTGCCCCAGGCAAAACTCAATGCCAGATCTCTCTGCACCAGCATTACCTGAAAAGATAATAAAATTTCCATTTCATAAGTCATCTTCAGAACAATTAAGTTACTTTCTCCACCCTCCCTTGCCTCTTTACCAGTAAAACAAACTTTTGACAAGCCTGGACTTCCAACAATATTTACATTATCTACTTTTTGTCCATAAGATCTCAACAGCTACAGTCACTCTAGTGACATATTCAGTATTGTGCCTTTGCTTTAGAAGCCAAACTTCTAGGAGTTTATTAGGCTGCTTTTCTTCTACACTGGCAGAAAGCACGCATGTGTTTCACAAGAGTGAAAGAAATACAAGATCAAGTCAACATTTACTCGGTGCTATGTACCGTAAAAAAGTTCATTAATAGAGGAAATGCATTACAGGGCTCCTGTCTAAAAGTGTTAGAATGTTTATAACCTACAGCTCGAGTCTCTCAAGCAGCCTAGTAATTCTCACCGAAATAAAATTCAAGGTACTGCAAAGCAGAAACACGCGCAAAAGTCCAACTTGCAAATTTTATGGATGCATTATTAGGACTTGCCAGAGATCACTGCCTATTAGAAGGCTATTCACAGAACTACAAGGGATTTGCAAAGCAATGCACTTTAAACATCCTAACAATGTTGATAAAGTCCAAGGTAAGATGCTTCCATAACTAGAAAACAACCTCATTATCAAGTTATAGACTGCATGTGTTTGCCATTTTTAATTACTGATCTTAACATTTTGTACTGCTTTACCTAAATAAGGGGTTATTACCAGGCTGCTTGCAAAATTGAGGGGTTGAGATAGATGGGCTCTCTTACCACAAAGGTACCTCAGACACTAAGCCATTCAGTCCTGATTCACAAATCAGATGCAGCCACCCCATCTCTCATGTTAAAAGCATGACTAAGCAGTGCCATCTCCACAACTTACACATATTATGACAGGCAGAATGATCATTCTGGATCAGAGCTTAGCAAGCAGTTTTGAGGCAGATGATTCTACAGCAGGTTTCCTTGGGCAGTGAAAGGGATGTCTGGGCATTGCTCACCAGCACTGACATGACGGCTACCCAGCAAACTCCCATCTTTATGCAATTCTTTGCCTTTATTCCACAAAAGGATACGAGAACCATTAACTCCTGAAATCTTGAAGTCATCTAATAACTGAACAACTCTCTCTTTACTTGGATCATTTGGATCACTGTTGCGGACCTGGAGAGAAAAAAAGGATTAATTTTGTGTTCCTTGAGGTAATTACCAGGCAAGAATATATTTTGAAGTTGGAGCTACTGCACTACTGTTAGGTTCTTATCCAAATTCTTTGCAGCTAGACAATCCAGAAATATCAAGCACGTGACTAATGTGAAGTTCTCAAAATGAATTAAAAAAAATAAGATTAAAAATTGAACCACACTCTCAGGCACTCACCGATTTTAGCAACTTGATCTCATCCAGTGCTGTTTCTGTGTAGTGCTCTGCACTCTTCACCACCTTCATTGCCACAAATCTCCTCCCTCTATGCACACATGGTAAGTAAATTGGAGACTGTTAACACTCATACAAAGAACTTATTCTCCAGGATTATCCTAATTCTTTTGCATATAAGACAGCTACTTATTTAAAGCATCATGGAAAAATAAGGTTTAAGCACTCATGGAGATTGTCTTTGGGTCTCTTTTATAAAACATCCATGTTAATAATTTCTCATAAAATTAAATAATAGGTCAGAGACTGCTGAACACAAGAGCACTCTTTCCACATATATGGTTTGTCCTGTTAACTCCCTGCCACACACTTGCATGCACAACATCAAAGGAAACTTGTGTTAGAATGTGGACAGCTATGTTTTGTGTTTTTATCTAAAAGTAAAAAGATGCTTTCTGATCATGTTTGTGCAATGCTCTGCATTCCCACCAGAAACACTAGCTAGAACAGAAAGACTTACTGGATGTCCCAAGCTAGCCACACAGTGGAGAAATGGCCCCATCCAAGCTTCCGAATCACATGGTATCGTCCATTAAAGAGATCTCCTATTTTCACAAGGTGATAACCACCTAGAAAAACAGTGGGAAGTTTGTATGTCAAGAGGTCACGCAAGTGCTGAAGAGCAGCTATGTGGAACAAGCATCACAACTTGAGGCAGACTTATTTGATGTGTTTACATTTTTAATCATATAAACAAATGCAAATACTTCTCTAATTGGATCTTGCTAGAACAAATACACAGCATGTTAGAGGAAGAGCTGCAAACAGCCCTCTAGTTGATAGAAAAGTTTTAATATAATTGAACTAGAATGACTGACTTTTCCTCCTTTTCAATGTAGGTCATCACTGCAGCATCACAAAAGAATATCTCCTCAGTGAAAGCATCTGAAGTCTGCTAGGCTGACCACCCTTGGAAAACACAGCTTATGACGTTCAGCAACAGAATCTTACAGCTAAGTATCAGCATTTTTTTTGCATGCTCTGGCCCCATAACATGAAAGAGTACTGCACCCAAGATCCCAACAGAGTTTCCCTTGCAACTGCTTTCCTGACTGAAAGGTACTTTGCCATTTAACATCACCACTGAAAATAGGCAAGTCTCCTCCCTGTACCCCTAGTATCTCTCAAGCTGCTGACTATGCAGAAAGATTCCACGATGGAAGCAAAGATGTGAAAAGACAGACAAAGACACAAGGGAACTGGCAGAAAACAGAACGAAGAGAAGAATCTGTGATTGCTAAGGCATAAATTTTTGCTAGAACCTGGAATTACACCCTAGATTCCAGACATTTACTATTCAGTTGTGGTCAGCAAATACCACCCATGAAATGCATGCTTTGCCAGGAAGATTCGGCTCTCTTGATTGGTTCACAAGATATAGAATTGCTATCCATTACTTCATTAGCTCAAGCAGCAGAAGTCCCTTTTCTTCACTTAAAGATTTCAGCTGCACCAACTGCTAATTCACACAATGGCTTTCTTCTTCCTACTTGCTTTACAACAAAATCCCACAAGTACTTGGGTAGCATGCTAAAAGTAATGTAAATGCTTTTAGAGTAAAGCACTGAAGGGTAAGAAACATTGCAATTCAAGTTCCCTGTGCTATTTCTACTTGCATTTTTTTATACACATATATGGCATTTGTTACATGATTCTCCCTCTGTCTTATTCAATATATACAATGAATAGTATCACAGAAGTAGTCTTACAAAGCGCTTGGAAGTGGGGACACACATTCAAGCTTCAATTAGTTGATCAGTTGAATTTGTATGATCAGTGTTCCATTTTTTTTTGAAGTATTTGCTATGTTAAAAAACAGCCTGACCCTTCTGATATTGAATTATATACTGTGGAATTTCCACTTGCTCTGTAATTAGTTTCTACTCAGAGAAACAGTGGAAGACTGTATTTGCAGACACGAAGTTACCCAAGAATGGATACTAAGATGATGATCTTCAAAAGAAAACAGTGAAGAATTTGAAACAGATTTTAAAGTGTCCTTCTTCTGATGAAAATAAAAAAAATTCAAGGCCTACTTGCTTTTACCAATTTTGAAAGCCCTCTGGCACAGAGGAAAAGCTAACGGCTTGCATTAAAAACAGCTCTTCAACTCAAATCTAAACTGGTAACAGTGAGAACCTTAGAGAATAGTTTTTCCATTTCAGGTTAGCTTGAAAATGTTATTATCATCATACAGTTTCAAAAAACACTTAAAGTAAGAGAAAGCCTATTTTCATGCTCTGCAGTAGATAGGAAATCAAGGGAATTTCTTGATTACATTGAAAAACCTATGTCTTAAACAGGCAAGTTCTCACCTTTACAGTAATCATTTGGATCCTCTTGTTCATCATCATCTGATCCCAGGATTTCTTCCTCTTGCTCTGGAAGATCATTCTCTGAATGAGCAGCAGGGCCCCGATGCTGAGTGTCGGGTCTGAAAGAGAACACACTGCATGTCTCACACATGTTACTCTTCAATTCAGTAGCTTTCATTTCACATGAGGGACTGCTAATAATGGAGGAGATGCAATATTCAGCTTTCAGAAAAACTATTTTCACATTTAAATGGTTTTATATATATAAAAATAGAGAGGAACAGTTTTTGTCTTTAAGAAATACAACTTAATGCCCTAGATTCATTTTTATAGTGGAAGAAAGGACCAGACAAGATAGTGAGTTAAAAGCTTAGTGATCCCACCAAAACATTAGTGCCTTTGAACCCCTTCTCAGCCTTTCATTCAGTGAGGACTTTTCTAACGCAAGTTTATATTTTGAGACATTACCTCATATAAAACCTGAAGGTTTAAATGTTGATGAATGTTAAAGACTAACACCAATTAATTCTTACTCCTTTGGAAAAAAAAATTAAACCAGTGTTTTAGAATCTGTGCCCTTTGTCCCTTTCACCTTTGAGATCAAATGAGCATTTAACAATCCTTCTGCTTCTAACACTTTAGAACTGTAAAATCCCTAGTACTGCCCTTGATTTCTCCTGTCCTCCTGCGGTAGGCTGCACTTCTAGTTCATCTCTTCACTGAAGGTCTAAAGTTTGTTAGTTGTCTGAATTATAGAGAGTGGGAGTACGCCGAGCAGATGTTCTGTAAACTCTTCCGAGAGCTTGTGATTACAGAGGAATTGAAATCAGGCACCAGCGTGGTATTTTTTTTTTTTTTCACTCCCACATTCATAAATAAAAACATTAACTTTGTGTGTTTGACTTTTTACCAAATGTGCTACTCTAAGTTCCTGCTTGTGAAGATCATGTTAGCAAAGGCCACCTCATTGCTCTCACGCATTTAAGCTGTGTTCCAGTTCCCTGAGCTAAAACATATTGCTATCTCCCTTGTGCCCCAACTCCTCCTTCATGGGAGTACACTGCTTACAGCCAAACAGCTCATGAAATGATAATACTAAAATAGGTAAGTTATTTACTTTACAAAGCATTAAAGAGAATGGTTAATTGTCTACAAAGTTTTATCTTCAATATAGTTTTGTACAAAGCAAGCATTTATAACAAAAACAGTGCCTATAGCCCATTTGCATTGGCAAGATTTAATGGCAAAGTACTGCAGGATATTAACACCAAGCTTTCTTTTCTTAGAAGTATGACATATTAAAAAAAGCTGGAGTTGTCCAAAGAGGTGGGCAACAAATTTCTTTACAGCAGTGATGTACAAGCACGAGATAACATTCTTTACAATGAGTTTCCCTGTCAGCGTGAATTAGCGGAAGTTTCTTGTATTGACACTACTGTTCCAGTGAAACAGCAGATATAACCGATGCCTTCCACCACCCTATTTCAAATTCAACTAGTTTTGCTCAAAGGAGGATTGACTGCCGAGACAGCCACTGGTTATGCCAGTGGGTATGCTAATGCATGTGGGCTTTCAGATGCAGTTTTTCTAGCTTATAACTGAGCTGGAGTTCTGTGCATCATATCATGGCCATACTAACTAATCTTAATCCATGGGACAAATTTAATATTTCAATTTTGAGTAGGTATACAGCAGAATGAATGTTCAACATTTACCTACTACACATGCACTCTGCTGAGACTTCATACATTAAATACATTACTACACATTAAAACTACAGCCACCTTAAATTATCTATGGAGCATAAAAGCAAAGAAATCACACGTTCCAATATGATCATGACTAAACTTGTAGCCATTTACAATCTGGAATTGAAGTTCATTAAACCAAAGAGGAGCTACAAAGGTCATCCCAGGCACAACCAAACCACCTGACATTTATTTCAGTCAGTTGTCAGAGCTAGCAAGTCCTGCTGATTTTTTAATTCAGGAACAGATACGCAACACAGATTAGTAGTCCCGAACTGTAAAACAAGACTGCCAGACAGTCCATTCCACTGCTGCCAGCCTGAGACATTTATTAACAATCCCATAGCTTGATCCAGCCCCAAGATATTTAGTATTTAGACATTTCCCCCTCCCCATGAGCCACAGAATTACAAGTCAGGGGTAGGAAGAAGGAAACTGGGGAAAGGGGGGAAAGCCTTGGAGGTCAAAAAGCTACCTTAAAACTGCTGCATTCCTTTGGGAACAACTGAGCTACGAATAAAGTCACGTACTATCCCCAAATTAAGAACCGTAGCCAAGGCAAGGGCCATGGACAGAACAGTTGAAGGGGAGACTGGAGGCTCACATAAAAAACCCTATAGAGAGTGTAAAGAGAACCAGAACACAGAATTGGATATAAAGGAGAATTTAAGCCCAGGAGCCACACCCATAGCGTAAGTAGTAAAGAGTAATTCTCCCCAATGCTGTTTTGCGATTTTCACTTTGGTATCTGCACAAGATGTAGGGGATTAGAACGGATTCAAAAGGAAATTCATCTTAAAAACCACTGATGCAGACAGAAACATCATGCCATTCTGCAGTCCCAATGCTTTTCAATAATAGTAATTTCATGCATCAAGGAAGAAGTTACTGGAAGCACTAAACCCCATTCTCTTGGAAGCTTTCTGCACCCCTCCTAAGAAGGGGCTGACGAATCATGCTGCTGACATGACACACCCTATAGTCTGCATCTGAGTCTGTCCTGGGGATCCAAAAGCATTTCAATTCTATATTATAATCTATTATACCAACTAATGTGAGCTGTATTCAGGTCACATACATTTCTACTGTGCTATTTCCTTTATGAAATCACCTCCAAAACGCATCTCATTCCTTTGCCTTCCTGCAAAAATTCATTAGATGTTGCCACATCCCACCACCTTCTTCCCCCAAAGTGACCATGTCAAGTGCAGATACGTATTGAGAGACTTAGTGCAGAATATCTATTAATACCAAAGAAAAACTGATACACAAACCCACAACCCTCATCTGTCTGCTTCGCTCACACAGACAGTACTCTAGAAGGCACAAAAGGCTGCTCAAGACAGCAGAAAAATCCATATTTGGTATTTAAAGATCACAGCTGAAACAGCTGTCAGCAATATTGCAAAATGCAGGTAAAATATATAAAGAGGCTACAAAAAATGGTTAATGGTTTACCCATTAAAAATCAAATACTTTTTTTTTTTTTTACAGCCACCTCTGTTCTACTTAAGAACACTTTGATCACCTTTCACTTTTGCTCTCTCAGTGTGCTAATTAATCATCAGAATTAACGGGATTTGCAGGGTCTCTCTACAACTATATAGCAATATTTTACTTAAGGAAAACAATGTGGAACAGCAACGCTAAGGCAAAATACTAGATCTTTTATGGAATTTCTGTGAATCCATATCTAGAGACCCTCCCAAAAGTCCTTATTCTCTCAAGAATGCCTGAAGAACTGCAAATTCAGGAGGTAAAAAAAAATTAAAAAGAAAGGGTAACATACCTGCATGAAGCACGGCCTCCCATTGATAAAGATATTCCTGAAGACAGCCCAATAGTTTTCGAAAGAGCCATTAAAAATCAGATGCCACACTGTTCAGGAAGCAGGGGGACATCAACGGCAGGCAGAGGGGCTGGTTCTTCTCGAACGCAGCAAAGCTTTGTGCAAGAGTAAGGGAGAAGAGGGATTTGCCTCCACCACCTAGCTGCAGATGCACAGCACTGCATTGCAGGTAAAGGGCCTTGCAGCAAGGCTGGGGGTTGCTCTCAGCTGATCTTCCTGCAAATTCAGTCATGTTAGGGGTTGAGCATAAATAGATTCATCTCCTTCTCTTGATGTTTACCTGTCTCAATCTTCCCTCTAATGAAATTAGAAATTCAGTCAGATACTTTGTTTCATCTTCCTGAACAAGCAGGTTTTATTTGCCTATTCAATAGTCCACTGGATTCAACACTTGGATGAAGACACAGATCATGGTAATTGCCGACAGTCCAACCCTTTTGATACAGAAATGCCAGCACAATCACACAGGAGAGAAAGGGCGTTCAAAGTAAAAATGAATTTTCTGAAGTAATTCCAAACCTCCCCCATCCAGAGTTACAAGAAAAACTTATCCTTTATGCTTAAAAGCAACCAAAAAAGCAGGAGGAGTCAAATCTTCTTTAGAAAGGTGAACTGAGTATTTTTCACAGCAGCAGGCACTTAACATCATCATCCCACAATGTAGAAGAATTACCAGCCATTTCCTGTGCCTTTTTATCCTGATGGTTTATGCAAGTGATAGGGCAAACAAGTCAGCAACAACGCAACATAGCAAGTAATAATTTAGAGATATTCTCTGCTATGGAGGACTGTTTATAAGTGAAAAACAATCTGAAGCTGGCTCTGCAGTTTTAAACCAAGAGGTTTAAAGAATTGGATTAACCTGCTTTTACGTCTAAAATATTTTCACCTTGAAAGCTCACTGAAGTTTGAACATCCTTTTCATAGTTTAGCATTGCCGAACCTCTTAATATTAGAAGAGGTGCTAACAACACACAAAATTTTCCACTGTAGTCAAGATTTTGCTCCACGTTCATTGAATATATCACCCGACAACTCTGCTCACCTCTGCAATGCATAGCAGGGACAGTAACAGTTATTTGCAGTAACTAAGATTTCAGTCACTCAGTTGTTCCTTACAGAAGGTGTTCAAAGAGTTTGGAAAAAAGACTTTTGTATTCTCTTGCCAGTTTCCCATAGAATCACTTATCTGGTGCACACACTAAAAATAAGGTAAAAAAATGATTAAGAAGCCTTAATTGCACAATGTGTGTTCTCACAGATCTGCACTCAGGCAGATCCAACAGCATCAGGAGGACAAGAAGATGGGAGACTACAGTCATGCCCATTAGTACAGACTGTGCAATGAAAAAGCAGTGTTTGTGCTGTGGAGCGGCACCAGCAAGGGCTCCTTTGCTGCTCTCTATACATTACTAGTGAAGCTATCACAACAGCCAAGTCTCCACTTGCAACTTCACCGTCAAAACTCAGAACTTGTTTTCTCCACCCTGGTAACTTGCATAACAAAAACATTTGAAGAGAGGTGTTTGGTTCTCCTATTTAAGAGCAACTTCTTCAAAACTCTATTTTGTACAGGAAATAAGTATTTTTCCTTGTCCCCAAAACAGCAGAAATACTGTCCATGCTACCTGTCTACCTGCTTTGAACAGATACAAAAGCAGACCCCTTCCAACCTTCAAGCAAGGAAGGCAGCATATATTTAATCCAAATCACTTTTGTCACACCTATCATCCTTATATATGGGCTAACAAAAAAGATACTCTCCTTACTCCTCTTCATCTGTTTACCATTCCCTCGGTATCTGCAGAGATGACGCCTGTCTGTAGGAAACCATTGCTTTCCAAAATGATTTTTAAGCCACCTGCAGCACAATCTTTATAAACACTGTCATTCCTTATTTGTGAGCTCAAATTACACACGAGGCATCCCCAAACAGAATTCAATTCACTGAATGCAAGACTAATGACAAATCCAGCTCATACTGTAGGAGATGCAGATAAGAGTACTATAACACACCCCGGGACTCTCGCTGAAGGAAGTGTTGCTTTCCACCTTAACCATCCAGCCAACGATTTCCAGGGCAGTACACCCACTGCAGCAAGATCTCGCTTCAAGTGCTGTTAAAGATTCCTTGTTTTCATTTGGGGAAGAGGAAAAAAAAGCTCCATATGGCATGGTGAAAAGCCAGGATTTAAAATCTCTCTCCCATTTTCACATCCATGCATCAAGACAATGTCTCTTTAAGGGAAGTATGCCTGCCAGACTGCATCTCATTACTATTCCTTAATGTGCCTGTAATTTCAAGATCACGTTAAGGCACATCTAGTCAGAATGACAGCTTCTGGTGCCACCCTCTGACATGCTTACAGGCAGATCTGCTGGCATCCTAGTGTTCAATAAATACTGTAACTGTTCAGACTCAAACTTTCAGTATGAATTCAGATCTGAAATGATAGAAGTATTTTCCTGCTTTTATGCACTTTACCCTTCTGCTCAAGAAAATTTTAAGTATTTGAGGGGAATTATAAATCATAGATTGTGGGGGACTTATAAGTCTATAATCCACATTATTTTGGATTACTGCAACTCATTCACTCTTGCATCCCTATTTTTCTGAATAAAGAACTGGTATTTTCTGCCAGTAGAGCAGATCCACAATACTTGCTGCTGTAGGGCAGCCATCCCAGAGCTACAGGAATACCATTGTCAAGAACTTAAGACGACTGGAGATGGTCTAACATTTAGTTTTGAAAGGACAGTGCTCAGAGGCACCAAGACATACTTTTGTTTAGTGGATCTGTGGGAGTTCAGTTTGAAGATAAGTAATAATGAATTTCACATGAGAACGGTCCTAATGCACAAATAACAGAGGCAATCGAGTTTCTCACTCCCCATACCCACTCCCCCACACAAGCACTTAACAAGCTGTTTGTAGAACCCTCTGCTATTCCAGCTATTACAAACGAAGGGACTTCCATGGAAACCAGCAGATCTTCAGTTGTGTCCTCTCATAGTCTGATAATCACTTCTGTATTTGAATGAAAAAATCCCGTGGGTGATGCATTCCGACTCTACCTTAAACTTACGTTCAAAAAACTTACGAAAGATGTAGCCCTGGTATTAATTATGAAAGACAAGTGAAGAAAACATAATCCAAGATCCTGATCCCAGGCAAAGTTTTGAATAAGGAAGTCAAGGAAGAACCCAAGAGGGCTGTCAGAACCTCAGGGCTCCTCAAAGACAGCAGGAAAGTGATACAAGACATGCAATAACCAACTGGAAAGTATCAGACTCTACTAGGAATTTTCTGCTCCCCAGATTGCATAGATGGAAAAATTACCAACTTCCTTATCTCTCTTCATAGCAATTCTATTGAGGAGGAAGAAAGAAGTGAGGCTTCACTGCACATCAAGAGTCTGGCCAGAAAAATTGCAGAAACTAAACCAGTTTCTCAAAAATACTGAATATTGCATGCATTTGGGAAGAGGGAGAGGAAGCGAGACAGCAGTACTGCACCAACTCAACTCTGCCACTGTCTTCCCTCCACGAGTAGAGGGAGCCAGAGGAACTATTGAAAGTCCCGTGAAAAAATATCTCCCACTCAGTAAAGCCTGTAAGAAAGGATTAAATAAGTTCACCAGTGCATGCAGAAATAAAGTACTTCAGATCATGAACATTTTTCAGAACAAGCCACATACTGTTAACTGTATGGCTGCTACTACCTTTGTAGTTATTCATGCTTACAGTAATAAAATGTTCTGCTTTGAGACACAATCAGTTCAACACCCCTTACACAGAACTGCTGGGTTTGTCTGCAAATAGGCCAACTTTTCCTGAAACATAAAAGACTGCTGAAGCAAGACACTGGACTTAGTGACATCTGGGCCTGCCAATGAACATACCCATCATCTACACATCACACAGTCCTGTAGCCCAGTTCTAGTCATATGCTTATTTTCTTCATTTCAGAGAAAATGAGCTATAATACAGAACTATTTGTTCAGTTTCTCATCTGTTTCTGTAACTGCTTTGAACAGGGATGGTTTTTTTAGCCTAGTTTTTAAACTCTGGGTCTTAATCTCAGCAGTAACCTAAACAGTCATTTTTTCCCAGGACAAAGAACAGTTTGAGCTTCTCAGGGTTTGCAACATACGAAGTAGACAGAAAAAAAGCCACAGCATTTTACTGGCAATTATGATCTAACAGTCACAAGTGCCTGATTCCATTACAAATTACCAGAGCCATTGGTAAAGTACATCTACATTAGTATTTTAGTTCAAATAGAAGCTTGTATTTTCAAACAGAAGCACAGTTTTGAAGTAAATACCAGATATTCCTCACATATCGGGCTTTCATTCACATAGTACAACAGTCTTGCAGCATAGGAAATTAATCTCTTTCAAATGAAAGCATGTAGCTGGCATATTCCACCTTCACTTCAGCCAGGAACAGACGTTCTGTCCACACTAGAGCTAACTCAAAGCAACATTCCCCTCCAAAAAGCACGTGGAGGCTTAAAAAAAAAAAAAAATCGAGCTTGTAATCTCCTGTTAGCCTGCACTGCTTCCTAATCAGACACTACCTTACTGCACGAAGGCATTACAAGCACACACGTGGCCTGGTCTGTGCTGCAGGACCTGCAAAAAGCAAGAAGCAGCCACCTCGTGGCCGATGAAAGGCTGAACTGTTGGGACACCCATCACTCCTTCCTCCTGCCTCTGCATTCATGGACATCACCATCCAACAAAGCTCATGAGACACCAGAACACTGGAATTCTGTTTTCAGTTCCCTAGAAGTCATATGAGGAAAACTAGCACAAGAACTGCTCCCAGGAAAGCACTGTGCAGCTCCCCCACCTTCCTAAGGACCAGGGCAAATACTCTGCCTAACACATTTTTGTCTACCAACGCTGAACTCCAAAGATATTAGTAACTGCTTCAAACAAAGAATTGCAAAAATCTATTGCATTTCTGATAATTGGGTAAAAATAACTACCTGAATGCACCTCACCAGATAGACTGTAAACTCTTCAGACAGCTGTAAGTTATTAAAGTTTTAGTAAGAAAAACGCTTGTAAGCCTACAAGCTCCTTTTTTAAAGACAGGCTTTTTTGGGTGCCTTTGGGAATCAACTGACTCTCAGTGCCTGAGATGTTCACACCTCATGAAATGATAAAATTAATACATCACATACTTCCCAGATAGCTTTCAGCAAAGCTATCTCTTGGCAGCAACACACATTGCAGTAGCCTACGTACCAAACTCCCTATGTTTTATTAGCAACTAAAGCTCTGACATGCATATTTCCTGACATATTCTTAATATTAAGGAAAAGGCCAAGCAGAAGCTTGCCTCTCATTTTCTAAAAATAAAGCAATTTTAATTCTAATTCCTTGCCTTTTTGACAGAAAAGGCTGAAATAAGAAGAAACTGAAATCAATGCTTCACTCAAGGCCACAAAACAACCCAGTGACAGTCAACACTAGAACTCAGGATCTCCCTGTATCTAGACTTGCTTTTTGTCCCTCCAAGGCATTCAGCTGTCACTCTCCCTGTCCTTCCTCCTCCTCAATTCTCACGGAAACGGGAGCTGGGCAAAGGTACACAGTCACAATATTCTTCCAACTCCACAATGGCAGACACAGGACTGATGAGCAAGCTGGGCAAGTAGAAGCTTCCTAACCAAACGTTTGAGACAGCTGGTTTAATGATTATTCCAGATCACCAAAAGATTTGGAGTAGTTTTATTAGACTGGGAAGACACAGGTACCTCACCTTTGTATTACCAAGAAACTTTGCCTGCTCTCTTTCTGCAGAAGAGTATGTTGGGATAAATGCACTCACTCCTTCACTGATATCAAATAAAACTTTGAAGACAGGAAGGATGGGAAGAATTAGGAAGATCCTGAATTTGTGGAAAATTAAGAACTTGGTTAACCTTCCCATTAAAAAAAAAATCCTATACACAGAACCGTAATTAGTATTTACAAGGGTTTTCTGGAAATAACTAGTTTAGGCTGGTCTTGTCTGAACCTAAATAGCAATTTTAACTAATTAATGAACAAAAAAAAAAAGGGTAACTTTCCACTTTGTACTATACACAGTCCATTGTGATTATTTTAACCTTTCCAACTGTTCGGGGGGTTTTTTTGTTTGTTGTTTTTTTTTTTAACTAGACTAGGTTGATAGGGAAACTTAAAGCAGGTATAGTTCATTTCTAAAGTGAAAGATACCTTGAATTTCTTTAAATCCCTTCAGAACATTCTCTGATTTTTTACACTTACCCATAATAAGGTAATTCCTAATACTCACCAACCTTAACCTTCTAAAATCAGTTGTTTCATGCTTTTTACTGCCCTTCATATAAAAAAAATTAGATGTGTGTGATCTAACCAACTACCATGGAACATTAGGTATTAAAAGGACATTCCATGTGGTTTTAAGTTTAGGTTTTATGGGAGAAGTCTTGCAACAACCCAGTTAAGCTTATTTTAGAAGATTTAACTAGAGCAGCTTTGTATTTAAATAGCATAAATGTCGTGGAACTGTACCTAAAGTCAGAGGCTGACACTGGGTTCTTTTCGTTGTACAATGTAAAGCATAAAGTACATGCAAGTTTCTTTAATTTCCGAGGCAGGATCTAACAAACCTATGGTACCAGAAAACAGAGTTGAAGCGTGTAGTTTAAGAACATAAACACAGCATTTTACAAATAGTATGGTTCTCCACTCAAATCAAGGTTAGTGGCAAAAGCAACAGCTAACCAGCAGTGCAGTTAACCTGTTCTGGCTACGTAGTTAAAAAGAATTTTTTTAAAAAAAACATGCCAGCACTGAAAGTTACCATTCAGCAACCTCAGAATTTACACAGAAATCAGTCTTTCCAACTGCAACTGTGGACTCTATTGGCAGAGTCAGTATTGTTTGTCTGCAGGTGAACAAGAAAAAAAGAAAGTAACAGGTATAGAATTAAACAATTAATTATTCATTCAGAAATTAGGATGCAGATAATACTATAGAAAGAGGAGAGCTCTTAAAAAATTGTCCTAATGCCATCTTCAAGAAATACCAGGAGAAGGTACAAAATAGCACAGAAACATAATGCACATCTCCCAAAGGGTTTAGTCAATGCTCTTCACCCCTCAGAAGCCCCATCTCAAAAGAACCGAATCTTTGCTAGAGACAACCAGAAAATTTTTTAAAATCCATGATTTGTTTGAGGAAGTGACTAAGATAGCATTACTCTAGGCCTAAAGAAAAACCCCTCCAGCTCCCACCCCCAAAGCTTTACTTCCTAAATACCTTTGGTTCCCAGGCACCAGTAAGTATAAAACCTCCTGGGGTACCAGAGATCCTACGCGAATAAGCAGCATTTTACTGAGCACACAGAACCGGCTCTAGGATTTACATCACCTTTCACTAGAAAGGAATTCACGAGCAGCACTGAGTGCAGTACTTAATGCAGTCTGGTGGGAGCCATTGTTTAGTATTTACTCGAGATCTTTTTAATTTTTATATCTGCATCCAAAAGTTCACCACGTACAAAGACTTGTGAAATTCCTGTGGTAGGAGAGAAGCCACACGAGAGCATCAAAGTTAGAGAAAGAAGTTAACAACACATCACAGCATTCTTACGGCAAGATTAAAAAAAAAAAAGAAAAAAAAGCGGCGTTGGAGGCGGGGGGCAAGAGAATCAAGAGAAGCTAGTTCCTAAAGCCAGCTCTGGAGGCTCCAGAAAGGAGAGGGGACGCTGGCATCGCCCACCGGGTACAGCCGGGGGCCGAGTGAAGGAGCCAGCAAGGACAGAGCACGACGGCAGCTCCGTTCACCGAGTCTCGGGGCACAGGCAGGGAACGGACAGCCTCCTGACACACCGAGGCAGCTCCGCTCCCCCGCCCGCCAAAGGAACCACGACACGGGACGGCGAGAAACCGTCAAATCCTGAGGAAAACCAGCCCCGGCGGAGAGGCAGGGCGGCAAAACCCGCCGCCCCGGGCCACCAGCCGCGCCGGCTGCCTGCCTATGCCGCGAAACGTGCCTTCAATTAAACTCGCGTTAAAAACCCGTCTAGCCCGAGGGGTTCGCACGCTTCTCCGCCCCGGGAGCGCCCGGCTCCCGCCGGAGCTCGGGCCACCGCGGGGCTCGGCAACCCCTTCCCCGCGGGGGAGGGCCGGGGTAACAAAGAGGCGGCGGCGGGAGGCAGCGCCGGTGGCGGGAGCTGCCGCCTGAGGGGAGCCGGGGGCCGCACTTACTTCCTCTGGGCCTTGTCCTTCTTGGCTTTGGTCCGCTTCTTTCGGGCCTGCAGCGCCAGCACTGAGGGAGAGAAGGGGAGAGACGCGTGAGGGGCGGCGGGCCCGGCGAGGGGATGGGGGGGGCACCGGTGCCCCCCGGGATGGGGGGTAGGCGGGTGAGGGGATGGGGGGGAGCCCGCGCAGCGCTCACCTTTCCGCTCCATGGCCGCCAGAGCCGGGAG